CACAAAGATCAAAAGACCTTAAACTGTTTTGAAACAGGCAGTAACAGTTGGTTGGCTGCAGGTTAGAATGAGGACGTTAGCCACTAGGGTTCAGAACAGGATTTGTGATAGAGGGTGGAAGGTTATCGATCGCAGTTTTGATGTATGTAGCAATGGAGTGAGGAATAGGACGAGGACTGAGGCAGCTAGGGCTAGTACGCCTCCTAGTTTGTTTGGAATGGATCAGAGGATGGTGTAGGCAAACAGGAAGTATTTGGGTTTGATGTGCGGAGGAGTGACTAGTGGGTTAGCTGGTGTAAAGTTTTCTGGATCACCTAAGAGGCTGGGAGAGAACTGCTTCCACAAGGAAGCAGTTCACAGGTAAAACACGACTGTGTGAGAGCTACACACTTTAAGCACGAGGCTCCCGCGGCAAAGCAGAGGGCAGTGTGTGCAAGCCCAGCTCACTTGGCCATGTCCCGGGCCAGCTGCATGAAGCGCTCCCCGTCGGAGGGCGCCAGCAGGTTCAGGATGCGCCGGTAGCCGTCCATGGCCATCTTCTGCTCGCCCAGCTGCTCGTACAGGCTGGACCTCTCCCACAGGTAGCGCACGTTGCTCGGGTCGTACTTCAGAGCTACGGGGACAGAGAGCAGCAGCACGGCAGAGTTTAGGAAATGCAACAGTGGGTTTCACATTCATTTCCTTGATTCCTGTCAGTGGACACGCACAGGGTTTTTGCAAGGACATCCTATATTACAGATTCATTTATCATTCATCTTTCATCATATTCATTCATCTTTTATCAAAGTCCAGACAGAGGTATCAGAATCTTAGCACCCTAAAGCAAAGGAGAACATAACAAAATTATTGCCATTAGCACATAGCATTAATTTTAAATTATTAAAATGTTTCCTACACTACCTTTTGTGTAGCAGAAAACAGCCTGCTTAATGTTGTCCTGCTCCAGTGACATTTCTGCCAGTCTAACCCACTCCTCAGTATTGCTAGGATTTAAGTGAGCTGCAATCAGTCCAAACTGTAATGATTTCTCCATATCACCCTGGTCTTCATAGATCATGGCAAGAGTGGAAAATGGCTCATGAGCAAGAGGAGCTGTGAAAAGATAAAAAAGAATAACTAAGATTTATTATCTAAAATCTACACTGGAAACTTGCCCTTCTCAAAGAACAGGTATCAGAATTATATGAAACATGTGCTGTTCAAATTCAGGAAAACTTGCAGACAAGTTTCTGATTCCTGTCTGTAAATTATTAAACAAGCTGACTGAATCTAACACCATTTATAGTATTATTCTATACTGCAAGGTATGCTGATGCTTATATCTTGTGTCTACAAAGACAGTAAAAACAAACTGTGTAAAACTAAGCCAAGGCCTGGGCTCTGCAGAACTGGGGTGCTAGTTTCTTTTTATAAGCAAAAAAATAAAGGAAGTGCATCACACATTCTTAATTCTACTACTTATACCTGACTTTGCTCATACTGTTTATTTTCATGTTCAGTGAAGCCACACTGAATCCTGCTCCTGCACACGGACACTTGACCCCACCCTTAAAGCCCAGAGGTTGCCCATTCTCCCTCCCATACCTTGTCGAATGATCTCCATGCACATCAGAATGGCCTCCTCACGCTCTCCTCGAGCAAATCTGATGTTGGCCTCTCCCATCAGACCCCTCAAGGCACGGGGAAGTTTGCTGCGAGGTCTTTTCTCCTACATGGAAAAGGGATGCTGTTTCTGCCCAAATCCAGGAGACACCCTGTTGTGCTTAACACCACCTAACCCCAAGTTATTGAAGTATTAGCAACAAAAAATGACTGACCAAAAAGACTTGCCAAAGTTCATAGTTTTCTGATGCTGGGAAAACTGATTTCATTATTTCTGAAGGCTTTAAACAACAGTGCTTTTATAACAAAGAAAGCATAACAAACACCAGCATAAGCAGGATTATCCTACATGGAACAATTTTCAGGCAAGTTTCCCAGTAAGCAGCTAAAAGTCACACAAAGTGGCCTTCATGCACCATGGTCAGGGGACACATAGAAATTAATGAAAGTTTAAATACTTGCTTTCATCATTTTCTTGGTTTCTCGATTAAGAACCATCTCCAAAACAAAAACATCTCCAGCTGTAGGCTGCTCTGTAGTTTCTTCTTCCTCCTCTCCTCCTCCTCCTCCTCCTCCTTCTTCTTCTTCTTCTTCTTCCTCCTCCTCCTCCTCTTCATCCTCCTCCTCTTCGTTTTCCCCAAGCATGGATGCAAAGACCCGATGGACAGATTTACTGACCCCATCTGCTGTTTCTTCTGGTTGAGAAAGAAGTAAAATAGGCTTTTGATATAATGAAGAAAACATGCTGCTTCCCTGGACAAGTGCAGAGAAAAGAGCAGCCCACTTGAAGTGGCTATTCTGTAAGAGTGCTGCCTGCAGAAATGCACAAAAACTATGGACAGCCTCTTTGGTTTTAAAGCTCTGCATTATTCATCACCAATGCCTGGTGTGGCCCAGCCTGTAACATCTTTTGGATATCTGAAATGAAAGCAGGGAGGAACACACAGAATGAAGCCCACAGTTAATCAACATTCTTCTCAATCCAGAAGAATATTAAGCAACTTTCAGGCACTGGGCTGGCTGGCTGCAATCAGCTTTTCAGCTGAAGAGGCTCTAAGTGAGCAGAGAATTCTACTACACAACAACCCAGCAACCAATTTTTCAAAGCAATTGAAAACAAGATCTTGTAACCATTCCATCCAGGACAACAAGTACCTCTTAACATGTGTAAACACAAAATCCAGATTATGTGCATTTCTCTGGAAAAAGAACAGAATTCTTTAAAATAAGTAAGAAAACTATGCTAAGTACTCTGAGTAAATACACCTAAGGCACACAATTTTTAATAATTTCCCATTTTTTATTTATAGCTTCTCATTATGAAGTGAACTCAGGGTTATAACTGACCACAGATCTATATACAAAACTCAAAATATGGAGGGTTCAAAGGTTGGAGCTGGGGGATTGGACACCTGAATATTTGATTAAAAAATAACCACAGTATCAAGCTGGGACTGAAAAACAAATCTATCATGTTTTGCCTGTATAGGAGAAGGATTTGGGGACCACACCTGGGTTTATGGTTATTTTTTTACTTGGATATGTTTGGTTATTTTTATTCTGACTTGGATATAAAGCATCTAAACATAAGACTTATCTTCCCTTGTCCCCATCTGAAAAATCCCATAATTACTATTTTACTTTCCCTTTTATTTCAGTCCCTTCAGAGATCAGAAGGGGAAAAATGGAGCCAGGTTTCTATGAAGTCAGTTATCAAAGAGCAAATACTTCCAGTGCCTTTTTAAATAGGAATGATTATGTTAGAAACACCAACCATCAGTTTCATCCTGGCTTTGGGATTTCCCAGATGCTTTTCTGGATGAAGATGGAGCCTCTACATCTTCCTCATTTTCCTCAGCAGATGCATTTTCACCATCCTACACACACCAAAAATACAAATTATTACCTCTATAGAATTACCCATTTTTTATTTCCCCACATATTAACAGCTACCATTTGTCTTTCCAGCCTTTGCACTGCCAGTGAAACAGGTGGGATAAGCCCTGTGTTTTTAAGTGAATAAAACTCATCATTCCTTGCTTTCAGGACATTTATATTTGTATCAATGTGGGAGACTCAGATGGTGACTGTTCACACTACATCTGACTGAAGAGACCAGTCCATTGATTATTGGGCACTACAGTGAGGTGGGATGACATTGTATTAGAAAAAAAAGTTCTGTGTGACAAATCCTTCCAGGAGCCTGTCAATATCATAACAGCACTCATGAATCCGGCAAGAATGCTGCCCCAGGGTAACACTGATCCTTCCATGACAGCTGAGTTCTGCTCAATCTGCTCTCTGAAGGCCACGAAATGCAGAAATTCAGTAGCACGTTGACACAAATATAGCAGAATTAAAAAGAACTGCAACACTCCGACAAATCACGCTTGTTTTCTTTTAATCACACCGCCTACGTAGCGTCGGACACAATGTGTTTCCCTATATTTACTGCTGCCAAGAATTCAAACGAGGAGCCGCACTGGCTCTCTCCCTCAGATGCTGCTGGGGGAGCTGGAGCAGCACAATCTGGATGAGTTTATACCCGAACCAGCTCCTTGCCCCGGCCCAAAGCACCGATTTCCCGCGGGCCGGGCGGTGCAGCCGGGCCGGT